GGGGGGATTGGCATGCCTATTAGCGCTTCAAATTTAGCACTCTGTTGATCCCCAGTTCTGTGTTTAACCAAACTGTATCCACCCCCTCCCCCTCTTTAGGTTTGTTGCATGTGCACGAAAATCGAGATTTTTTAGGTCTTTTAGAATTCAGAGACGCATGCAGGCACAAAATCAGAGAGATTCGCCTCTTAGATTCGGTGTAGTGAGGTCGACAAGTTGTCCTTTTGGTATTGTCCGGACTATAGATATTCCTCTCAGTCCGGGTTGACCCAAACAGGCAATGTCGGTCCAACCCGTTTTCTTTGATTCTAGTGGGTAAAAAAGAGATTTACCAAATTCACCTCAAGCAAACATTAAAAAGTCAACTTTCCTCGACATCAGACTTTAACGTACGCCATAGAAGCACGGTCCTACAGACGAGTGAGTAAACTTCGAGACTCACGTGGAGACGTCTTGGAAGCCGTGGGATGAAATTTCCTAGATATTTTCCTCTACAAAATTTCACTCTAGCTGAAATTGAAAACAACTGGGCTTTACTCAGACACCATTTATTATGCAACAGCTTCACACAAAAACCAGCTTCCCCTGTCACCAGACCGGTTTTTTCTTTCTTTTTTTCGTTTGTTTGTTTGTTGTTGCTTCTTTGTTAGTGTTTTACGGCACTCACAACTGCATAAGGTCATATGAGCGCTCTGGACACATTAAACATTTTTCAGCTGGTAGGAAATTTTGAGTTTTGCCCGGGTGGTGGCCGAAGCCTACTCTTATTGATTTTAGGATCACCAAGGGATTTTAACGTGCGCAACTTGCACCCGGGACCTCTGAGATTTTTCGCCATTATCCGAGACGGCTAGGTGTAGATCTGACCCAACATAAGATCAAGGGTGTCTCTGTCCGGATTCGAACCCGGGACCTATTAAATGAGAGGCGAACACTAACACCGTAACCTCCAGCCCACGAGAGCCCCCCGATAGATATGGTAACACACATTGTCTCATAACCCCCTTTAAAAGTCACTACCCCCCATAAGGAATGTATCTTCGTCAGCTCAGTTACCATTGCACCATTAGACGCGATCTTCCTGTGACGGCATGTTCTGAAAAGCAACGACAATGAACAAGAGATATCACCATTGATTCTTTATGAACTCCGACATTTTCGGTGACCATAAAATGTGAATCAATCGTACGGCTCCATTCTCTCACACTCCATTTAAACTGTGATTTGGTCGCATATTCTCTGTTACATAAGAATGTCCAGCATGGACACTCTTGAAAGGGAAGAGAATGCCAAAGTATCTGTCTGTGGCTACCGAGAGGCTTATTTGCAGGCATGTAAAAGAATCAGAAACTCGTCATTTTCTTCACAAACACTGGACGTAACATTTCAGATTCCTTCTTTCAGTTTCGGGTAGAACTGGTTGTCGATTTATAATAGTTGTTTCAGAGAAATATTTAATATGTAGGTTTGGCAACGTTTGTGATCGGCTTGGTTTGCAACTAGCTACATTTTAGAGCATCTTGTTAAATGTTTTGCTAAGTTTACGACTCGCTTCGTCCGTGATTGACTTCTCTCGTGAATGAATCTCCTTACTCACGTGACACGTTTGGTCCTGCGACTTCCTTCACGCGTCTCTCGCTGGAATGTCGTGCCAGCGTCATTGTAACCTGCTCCTCTAGTGCCTGTGAGTGACTACTTACGTCAGCACAGACGTCTACACGCCTCAGCAGCACACATAAAACCCTATTTGATCCCAGACTTCCAGCTCACTACTTAAAAAAATAAAAAATAATTCCACGTATTGCTCACACGAATTTTACTGGAGATAGACCGTCAGTGAAGCCCAACATTTTGTAAACTATTTTTGTGTGGATTTTACTGGAAAACATTCATGAAAGGCATAGCAAATAAAACTTTGAAGTTTCCAAGGACACTTCAATTTTGAAAGTCACCAAATTTTGGTCGTCATTTACTCGCTATGACGACCCCAACTTCTGAAATTGAAGAATTCTAGACTACTATTACAGATATATGAGTAATTTTGCATAAAAAATGGGTTAAATAATCAAGCTTTAAGACTTCAATGCCTGATTCCACCTTGTCGTATCTAATGAATAGATAAAAAATCTGCTTTTGCTGTCATCATTGACAAAAACCTTTATAACGTTTTATTTGAAAATCTATATGTCAGTATTTCAATTATTTTATTTCCTCTTTGTTCTGATCCTGTTTTCTGAGGGAAATGAAATTTTGAGGAAACAATATCAGGATCAGTCAGTGTCCACTGGAAAGTACTCCAGACAACAGTGTAGCGGCGACTCTTGTGGAAGGAAAACACTTCTCCCCGGGGCGAGAGGTCTCCTTGACTGTGCCAGTCACTGCCAGCTTGACCCGTCTTGTGTGGGCGTCAGCAGAGGTCAGAGGGAAGAACACGGCCGTGTTGTGGGTCACACAGACGACTGTTACATTCACAAAAGCTGCACCAGGTCTTTAGACGGGGGCTGTACAAATGACACCTCACAGTCAGAAGTTTACTTTAAATTTCCAAACACACCAGGACATCCACCAACTATTGGATATACTGCAGAAACAACTAGGGCAACAGAAAACACTGGGGGTAACATTTCTCCAGTTAGCATTTTTGAAGGAACAATTGGTCCTGACTCTTGTCAAAATAAAGGTACATGGGACAG